TCTAACTGTTTACTTGCAAGTTTTAAGAATAATCTTTTTCAGAAACTTACATAGGATGAAAGGCTCGTGTTGGTAGTTCAGAGCCGAGTGAGCTGCGGGGACTGATGGAATGCAGGTAGTTGAGTGTGTGAAGTCAGTCACAGGCGGAAGCGAGATCAACTTTCAGGGAATGAAGTAATACACTTCCGTTGAACCCTTTCACTTTTCTGTGTCACTATGAGGGTATCTCGGAGAAACCCATGCGGTGTTCGAACATTATTGTTTGTTTGACTTTTTTGTATTTGTCTTTATCTGTTTGTTGTTTGTTTTGGGTTGGTTTTTTTACTTCCTGAATTGAAGACACTTCCTCTCACGTTCTTTCGAATAAAATGTTTATATTCGGCGTCAGAAAACAATGACGTAATTGACGATGATTATCGTGTAAACATAATAATTTGATGACAAACTGGCGTATGCTGTTTAGTGGTTAAACTCTTCCTCGATGCACACAGAAGATTAGTGCTCAATTAGCGTATGTAGAGAATTTTTGTCAACGGTCTTTGTGCTGGGACGTTGCATCCCTTTCAGCCTGGGTTTGGTCCTGACAGACAGGGTCGAGTAAGTCCGCCACCTATGTGATTTAAATTGTATGGATGGGGACGCTAAACATCTTACATTAGAACATTTAAAACGACAATGCAAGTCTTGAAAATTTATCTTGCGTTTTGTTTGTAATTTACGATTTAACGTCCACGCTTGTTAGAAGGGGGCTCCACTGTTGCTTAGTTGGTACTAGGCAAAAATACGATGGGGATAGCGCAGGTTTAAATCATCAAAAAGCACCTTTGCATTTAGTCTGCACTCAAAGACAGTTTATCTGAATGTAATCTATGGACACAGAAAAAACACAAACAAACAAACAGCACAAAAAAACTTCCATGACTGCATAGTCAAGATCTAATGTCTGATCCCATTCCACCAGTCTCGAAACTCTCTATCTTCCCATTTAAACTCGGCAAGTAATTTTTGACGATAAAAACGCATTTTCTGGAGATCTTGTTATTGTGTTATTATCTTCTCCGCTCATCTTCTGAAGAACCTAATCAATGACATCTTCACTGTTAGTCTTTTCCAGGGGAACGCTGTAGCACGGCAGTGTGTTGCCTGTCCGCGAGAGACCAACAGGCAAGACAACCTCTGACTTCAATGCCAGTTCCAGAAAGGATAAAGCAAAGGAAATGAGAGATTGAAAGCTTCACCCGAGTTTAAAAACGCCCTTTAGGGAATTCGAACCATGGCCACCCGCCCTATAGTTCACTTTGATACAAACTGAGTTAACGGAGCGTCCAGAAATTTGGTGAGGATCACGTTGGTTTGAATCTCCCAAAATAACAGTCGCTCATCTTCTACGCTCAAAGACAATTAATCTGACTGTGATAATACAAGAAAGGAAAAAACAAACTCAAAGTCTTTCGAAATTGTATATTCAAGATATGTTGTCTGTTTCTTTCAACCCAGTTGTGAAGCTCTCTGACTTCCCATTCAAACTCGGCAAGTAATTGTTGACGGTAAAAATGTTTTCTCCGGAGAACGTGCGGTTGTCCTCCCCGCTCATCTGGTGTAGACCCAGACCAATAACGTCGTCACTATGGTCTTTTCCCGAGGAGCGCTGTAGCACCGCGGCGTGTTGGCTGTCGGCGAGAGACTTGTCCTTTGTCTCCGGCAGAATCAACAGGCTAGACAGGATGATGGTGGTCAGTGCTGTAATGGCGATGTACGACTCCAGGACTTTGCTGTCCTATCATGACGATGAGAGGGAAAGACAAACAACTGAAGATTAGCTTACTGAAATGGTTTCTGTTTCATAAGGAGAGTAGAACCCCGAATAAGAGCTGCATGCTGCCCCATCAGGACAATGGAAAAGAAAAACAAACTCCCGAAGGCTAGTTTAATGAAATTATTGTCTCTTGTCGGAAAGGATTGCAAAATTCCAAAGTTAAACAGCGTGGAGTCCACCCCTGCTGGTATGTGTAAGGGGGGTTTGTTGAAAAAGGGGGGGGGGCATTTTCTACGGCTCTGCTTGGAAGCTTTCTTTGGCCAACTTCTGTTGAGGGTTAGACAGAAACTCCCCTTGACATACTTGTAAATTATCTATTGAGTGTGTGACAGTGTCTTTGTCCATTAGGATGTGTGTGTGTGTCTCTGTGTTTGTTTACGCGCGTGTCTGTGTGTGTGTGTGTGTGTGTGTGTGTGTGTGTGTGTGTGTGTGTGTGTGTGAGTGTATTCTTTTGTTTGCTTGTTTATTTGGTTTTTAATTTT